TTGTTTAAGAATGCAGACATGCCTATTGGAGACACACTTAAAATCATGGGTATACTAGACAAGAAGTTGAGAAGAGCATTTGCCTTTGGTGGAAGATGGAAAGGGCTGGGTAGGCACAAAGAATCTTTGGCTGTGTGGTGACACGGGTTAACTTTATTCTTTTTTTTTGCAGAACTGGGGATTGAACTCAGACCATCGTGCTTGCCAGGGAAGCGCTTATTCCTCTGAGCCATCTCCCTGGCCCTTATTCATGTTTTTGAGGCAGGGTCTTGCTATGTAGTCCAGGCTGGCCTTGTACTCTATGTATGCTAGGCTGACTTCAAACTTGTGGCCATCTTCCTGCCTCAGCCTCCTGAGTGCTGGGATTACAGGCCTGAGCCATCAAGCCTGGCATTTTATCTTTTATAGAAGTATTGCCTGATTGGACTAGAGGTATTGCTCAGTACTTATCTAGCATGTATGACTCTGGGTTTGACCTTAGGGTTGCAAACAAACAAACAAAAATAATCTGATAAAAACATAAAAACATGACGGGTCCTTACATTCACATCCATCTCTCTGTCTACCTCTATCTTTCCCTCTATGTAGCTATTTCTGCTTACAGATATTCCTCACTTAATAACATACCTGGGCTGGCTAGATGGCTCAGTGGTCTAAAGCACCTACACCTACTTGGAACAAGCTTGGCAAAGCACAGGGACCACGGTTCGATCCCCCAGCATCACATGCCAGCCACCCTCGCCCCCTGGTGGGCTGAGCTGGTCACACACACACACACACACACACACACACAATAAACAAATAAATAAATAAATGTTTAAAAAAAAATAACATACCTGATTAACCTCTGGACTTACGACCCGCAGCTCAAGCTTATGACCTGTACTTGGACTCATGATGGAGGAACATGAGCAGCAGCATGGCCGTAAGGTGGCTTCTTCTGTGGTATAGAACTCCAACTTTTGCTGGCTGTACAGTAAGTACTACAGTTTTATATTATTATAGATTACAGTATGGCACGTAAGAGTTATGCAAATAAAAGCAATGTCACCAAGTTGGAGTTTCCCTTGATCATTTCTTTGTTCTGAAAATTGCAGTGTACGTACTACATGCAATTCCTCTTTTTTTTTTTTTTTTTTTTCAGAGTAAGAAAATTTGTCGGGAGAAAAAGAATGGGGAGGGGCCAGGAAGATAGCTCAGTAGAATAAGTGATTGCTTGGTAAGCATAAGGGTTTGAGTTCAATTCCCGGTTCCACGGGAAAAAAAAAAAAAAAAAAAAAAAAAGAATGGGGAATGGAAATGAGGAATTAGGGAATAGGGAAAGCTCCTAAGAGACAGGAGGGGTCCAGAATGGGTTGCCAAGGAGCCCGGTCTCAAGGGAAGTTTTATAGAGAAAAATCAAGAGGAAGGTACAATGTGGCTCAAAATTATGATCAACCAATGAGATTGCAAATATAGTTGCCTAGGTAATATTGATCTCAGGCCTGCAAGATAGCTCAGTGGATTAGGCATGCACAGGAACTGGGGTTTGATCCCTGACACTACACCACATGCCAAGCTGGTCCTACCCCTGGGTGTGCTGAGCTGGCCACCAAGACCAGGGGTGGTGGTGTATGCCTGTAATCCCAGTGCTTGGGAAGCTGGAAACAGGAGGATCACTATGATCTCAATCTGTGTAGTGAGACCCTGTATATCCTGTACTAAATACGTTACACACACACACACACACACACACACACACA